TTTCAAATGTATGGGTCTGTTTTACTTACACAGTAATGTTACCTGTCACTCAGGAAAAAAAAACTTGCAAATTATTGTTTTTCCATAAGAAGAAATAACAATTGGGGTATATTCTCTTATTTATCAAACAAAAATATTAACTGTCCTTACCTCAAAAAATTGGTGTGAAATCCTGAAAGAATCAAATCACTAACAGTCTAAGGGAATGGACGATAAGGTTGTATCTTCATCTTTTTTTTTATTTCTACTTTCTCCCTTGTGTTCCTATTGTGTTTAAATGTTATGAAGGTGTCAGACTTTTTAAAAATGTCATTTATAGCTGAATTTACAGTTGACCAAGCCATATTTCCTTTGGTTATAAAATGTATGGTTAAAACTTACACATAATATAAAATATTTTAAAGAAGTCCTTAATAAATAGAGCTACACAAAAGAAAAGACCTGAGCCACAGTAGATAAATGTTGAAGGACATGAACACACAATTCAGAAAGAGTATTCAAATAGCCCATATATATTTGAAAAACATGTTCAATTACATTAGGAATCAAATAAATGCAGATAAAAGCAATGATGAACTACCGGGTCTGTAAATTACCAGCATTTTTTTTCTTTTAAAATTAGTCTTTAAAATGCTAGTAATACTTGAAGACATTTTCCTTGTTAAAAAAAAACAGGTGCAGCTAGTACAAGTAAGGCTAAAACTCCTGCTGACTACACTCCAATCTCAGACCCCCCTTTTAGAAGTAAGCACTCTTAATCAGTTTGCCATATGTCCTTTCAGACTTTTTTCCCTGATTTGTTACATGTGAATATCACTGTAGGAAATACATAGTGCCTGTAGTATATATCATAATGTAAACATCAGTAACTTTGTCTCATTCAACCATGTTTTAGAGGTTCATTTGGTTAGTAGATAAAGATTTCTTTTGTTGCTTTCAACTATTACAGAATAATCCTATTCTATAACTGTTACGATTCTTCTGGGAACTATGTTAAGAATGAACTCATAGAGGAGGTCAGTGGTGGCAGGGAGACCAGTTAGGAAGGTATTGTAGTAATTAGGCAAGAGAAAGTGATAACTTGGATTACCATTTTCGTAAGATAACCTATGTGATTCCTGGACAAATCGCTTATGAAAAATCTTGGTGGAAATGTTCTCTGGCAGGTGACAAGAAGAGTATGGCACTCATAAGAGGTATTTGAGAATGTACAGATTTGGGAGATAACAGATACATGTAGTAGTGGATGAGATAACCCGAGGAGAGAATGAGAAGTGAGAATTCTGGAGAGTAGCCTAAGGAAAGACATGTATGTGGGAGTGGTTAGAGGAGTAGGAGGAACAACAGTGGTGAGTAGCATCAGAGAAGCACAAGGAGGAGCGTGTTTCAAGAGCAGGATGGGATTGGCAGCTCCAGGTGCTCCAGAGAGGTGAAATAAGATCAAAGGGAAGAGTGTCTTTGGGTTTACCATCAACGAAATTGTTAGCTCTGTCATCATTTTAGCAGAGTGATGGGTTGGACACTTAATTTCAGTAGTTTAAGGAGAGAATGGGAAATGAGGAGTAAAGGCAATCAGTGTAAATAAGTCTTTTAAGAACATGATGTCAGTTTAGAGTTAAGTGCTAATAGGGAAGCTAACAGAGGGGAAGGATTTCTAAGAATGTGGGGAATTAGCTCTGACAGTCAAGTTTTAAGGACAGTGGTCAGTGGTGTAACATGCAGCAGTACGGTCTCATTAATGTGCATTGAAAAAATGTACATTATATTTGGCCATTAGGAGGAAATCTGTGAGTCAGGAGCTGAGTCCTTGTGGTGGAGTCCTCTGACTACTAGGCCTTGGTCAATGGGGAACAAATGAAATTATTGAACATGGAAGCGATATGATCAGAACAGTGTTTAAAAAAATTTTTTTTAATCTGGTAGCAGTTTGGAAGATAAGATAGAAGAGATAGGTCCCATTTAGGATAGTGTAGAGCACAAAGTAATGGACCTGGACCAGGGTGGTGGTCCTGGCAACAGAAAGATAAGGTAGATGCAAAAGCTACTATGCTATTATGTACCTTTTATGTAATCAAATAGCTATCAAATGGATTTAATTAATGGATAAAGGAGAAGTAACCTGAATGTTGATTTTTTTAAGGTTTTGAGTGTGGTAATAAGGAGAATGATAGTAGAATTTACTGAAACAGAAATACTTAGTAGAAGCAAGATTTGAAAATGAATCCATTTTTAAACTTTCCTTTATTAAGCTTATGTTATGGAGTAGCTACCATGTGTTGGGCTCTGTTCCACATCTGGAAATACAGCAGTGAACATAACAGGCAAGATCTCTGTTCTCTTGGCACTTAACATTCAGAAGTGAGGCAAAGACAGAAATAATAAAAGAACAAGATAATTTAAGGCAAGTAAGACAAAACTTGGTGATAATACAGAAGCAAACTAAAGGGAACCATTTTAGATGATGTGGTCAGGAATGGCATTTCTGAAGAGGAGAGATTTGAACTGAGATCAGATTATTACTAAAGAGTCAGCTGTGCAAAGATCTGAGTGCACATGCATCGTCGCCCAGACTAGAGAGTGTGTGCAAAGATACTAAGATGGGAATGAGCTGGATTTGTTTGAGAGCCACAAAAACCCAGTGTGTTAGGAGCAGAGTGAGCAAGGGAGAGACTAATACATGATGAGGTAGGTCTGAAATAGGTGGAGTTAAACTTGAGCAGGGCATTGGAGGCCTTGGTAAGGAGTTGGGTGACTTGTACTTGATGCGTAGCAGTGGAAATGAAAGAAAAAGTAGTATTGAGCTATTGTTGAACTTTAACTGTCTGAGACATCTAGGTGAAGGAGTCAAGAGAGTTGTCAGGCTTAAATATGTGAGTTCAAATATGATTTGCTTAGTATTATTCATTGAAATAACTTCTCAATTGTTTAGGTATTGAACAAATAAATGCACTTATGGAGGTTTGAGGAGCCTATCGAGGAAATGGTCAAGGACTCTGAGGGTGAATGATCAGCCAGTGATCAGGGATCCCTCACAGTTCTTTGACATAATAAAGAATGTCTTAAATAAATATCATTGCAACCTGAAAGGAATGACCAACTGTTGTATAAAGAGTGGCTGGAAAAATTATGGCCAGAAATATTTCATGACTTCAGGGGATATAAAGAATACTTGCCAACTTAAAATCCCTGCATTTCTATAGGGACCGAGCTATAAAGACTTCATGTAGTGCTGGTTTGGTTAGAACTCCCATTTCTAGAAATGCCTTTTTTTTTGTTTGTTTTTTCTTCTGGTAAACAGAAAGTATGTATATCACTGTGTTTCTTCATATACAAGTAGTTTGAATAGTTGCTTAGCCAAGGTCATCCTTAAGGAGTCTGGTTTTACTAAATATGTAAAACTTACGTGTGTTCAAAAGCTACATTGAGGCATAATAATTATATTTTACATATTGCTTTACAGTTTACAAAGCCTTTACCCATTAGGAAATCAACTTTCTTCATAAACAACTCTTAAAAGTAGATAAGGGACAGGAATTTTAGAGAGGTCTACATTAGTAGAGGGAGGAAACTGAGGCTCTCCAAGTGCGTAGTCATTGAATGAGAAATGAATTCACAACTTGTGACTTTACTTGCATTTCTTTACCTGTCATACCATGTTAAAAATTTTCAAATATTTAAACTTAAGTGGAAGAACTAAAATATGTTTCCTTACTAAAGCAGTGACAAAATATATTTTTTTATTTGTATTAAATTATTGGTGCTACCAAAGGTTTCAGAGTGGTGTGAATACACAGAGGAGGTTAAGATTGACTTTGGCTGGCAGAGTTAAAGGCTTAATTTTGTTTCAGACGTATATGCTGTATTCTCATTTGCTAATTTGTATTGTCTTTTCTTAGTTGCTCTGCATGTTTAAAGTGCTGCATATGCAGCTTTGAAATAAGCCATTTTATTTTATATCTAGTACTCACATGTTTGTTTCTGTATCCATATTTTATTCTTGTATTGCCAACCAACTCAGTGGAGATGAGTATTAATAGTAGCTAACATGCAGTGATCAATTCTGAGCCAGGTTCTGGGGTAAGGAGTTGGTAAAAATTAACTTACTTAATCCTAACATCAACTCTGAGGTGGGAGCATTCCTTCTTTTCTGTCCGTTCACATACTTACTATTTTGAAAGAAAGAAAAATTACAAGGCATATTTAGGGTCACTCAGGATCAATTTAAGCCATGTAAATAGACATTTCTTGTCATATTATGTATTTATCAGGTTTTTTCCCTAAGTAAAAAAGTTGTTGGTTTATGTCCTGACCTGAGAGGTGAAATCTAAGCTATATAACGTGAATTAATAAAGTAATATCCTAAATGTCTGTTTTATGATTTTAGTGATAGTGTGTAATAATCATGCATGGTTTTTCATTTTTAAAAACTATTTAACTCAATGTGTATACTTAAAAAATGACTCATTAATAAAGAGATGTTTGCTTAAAGTATTTAGGAATAAGAAATGTCCATAAAATTTAATCCTTTTACTTTTCATTCCTGTGTTTTCATGGAGTGAACGAGATATGTTGCTCACTGTGGAAATGGTAATAATAATGCTCTGCATTTATATAGTATCTTTTATCTGAGGATCTCAAAGTGCTTTTCAAATAGTATTTCATGAATCCTTACAGCACTTCAGTGAGATAGGTAGGTAGGTGGCAAGGATTATTAATCTTCATTTTACAAATGGAGAAATTAAGCCACAAGAGGGTTAAATGATTTATGTATAGTCCCACCAACCACTTACAGAGGCAGCCTGAGCTACTAAATTGAGAATATATTTTAAGAGGATTGGCATACTACAAACTGTTAACCCATTTGCTTCTGTACTTTACACAGATTGTCTGTTAGAACAAATGTGGTAGCTTTAAAATGTCCATATGGAAATTTTTTAAAATTGTTTCTTCAGGTATAGAAAACATTGTAATACTCTTTTTTACCTCTGTCTCATTTTTAGGTCAGCAGCAAGGACAAGATGGAGTAAAAGTCCAACAAGCTACGATAGCTCCTGTAACAGTAGCAGTTGGAGGGATTGCTAATGCAACGATAGGTGCTGTTAGTCCTGACCAACTCACACAAGTGCATTTGCAGCAAGGCCAGCAGGCTTCTGATCAAGAGGTGCAGCCTGGCAAGAGGCTTCGAAGAGTTGCCTGTTCCTGTCCTAATTGTAGGGAAGGAGAAGGAAGGTAAATACTCTGTTGCCACCCAACTCAGTGGAGACTAGTAGTAATAATGGCTATCATGTAATGAAGGCACATGGAATAGTAGTTAAAACCAAGCAATTGGCTGAGGACTTTGATCATTGGAACATCACTAGTAAGCCCAAAAGTTAAGATACACTGTTGTTATGAGGAAGGTTAAATCAACCTGTTCTAGGAATGGGATTTCAGTTGTCCTGTACCTTGAACCTTATACTTTCTTTTAATGGTTTTCTTTTTTCATTATTATGTAAAATTTTAAAATAACTCTGTTGTTATAAAACTCACATACCATACAGTTTACTCATTTAAGGTGCACATTTCAGTGGGTTTTTTTTTTTAATATAGTCACCATAGTCGTGCATCCATCACCACAGTCAATTTTAAAACATTTTTGTTTCCCCCAAAACAAACCTTGTATTTTTTAGCCATTACTCCCTCATCCCTCCCAGCTCTGGGCAGCCACTAAACTAATTTCTATCTATAGATTTGCCTATTCTGGATATTTCATATAAATGGAATCACACAATATGTGGGGTTTTTTTGTGACTTTCATTCACTTAGCATAATATTTTCAAGGTTTATCCAATATTATAGCATGTGTCAATACTTCATTCTTTTTAATGAACAAAATAATATTTCATTGTATCAAGTAGTATTTTACTTACCCATTCATCAGTTGACGGACATTTGGAATTCTTTCACCTGTTGCTGCTGTAAATGTTCTTATGCAAGTTTCTGTTTTTGATTTGCATCTCCTTGATGACTAATGATGTAGATTATGTTTTCTAATGTGCTTATTGTTGGCCATTTGTATCTTCTTTAGAGAAATGTCTATTAAGATCTTTTACCCGTTTTCATTAGATTATTTGTCTTTTATTATTGTATTATAATGCTGCTTTAAATATTCTAGATACAGGTCCCTTATCAGATACCTGATTTGAAATATTTTCTCCCAATCTGCAAGTTGTCTGTTCACTTTCTTAATAGTATCCTTTGAAGCACCAAAGTTTTTTATTTTGAAGTCCAGTCTTGTCTTTGGGTGCTTCTGCTTTTGGTGTCATTTCTAAGAATCCATTGCCAAATCTGAAGTCACAAAGATTGTCAGTTTTCTTGTGAGAGTTTTATGATTTTTGCTCTTTTATGTCTTTGATCACCTTGGGGTTAATTTTTGTGTATGATGTGAGGTAAGATTTTATTCCATACCTTTTGTTGAAAAGCCCATCCCTTCCCCATTCATTGAATGGTTTTGTCACCCTTGTCAAAAATCAGTTGATCATAGACACATAGGTTAATTTCTGGGCTCTCAGTTCTGTTTCATTGATCAGTATGTCTGTCTCTATGCCAGTACCTTACTGTCTTGATTACTTTGGCTTTGTAACTTTTGATGTTGGGGAGTATGAGTCTTCTGACTCACTCTACATGAAAGGGTGTTTGTGTCAGATGCTTTTCTGAATCTGTTGAGATGATCATGTAGTTTTGTGTTTTATTCTATCAGTATGGTGCATTACACTAATTAATTGTCAGGTGTTAAAGAACTTTTGTGTTCCTGGGATAGATACCATTTGGTCGTGCTATGTAATTGCTGGATTTGGTTTTCTACTATTTTGTTGAGGATTTTTGCATCTATCTTCATGAGAGATATTGGTCTGTAGTTTTGTTTTGTTTTGCTTTGTTTTGCTTTTCTTACAATGTCTTTGTCTGCTTTTGGGAAGGGTAATACTGGCCTCATAGAATGAGTTGGAAAGTCTTCCTTCCAGTTTTTTGTTTTTTTTTGAAAGAGTTTGTGAAGAACTGGTGTAAATTTTTTAAATGTTTTGTAAACTATGAAGCTATCTGGTCCTGGGCTTTTCTTGTGAGTATTTTTTTGACTACCAATTCAACCTCTTGTTTTGAGTTTTATATTGTTCTTGAGTCAGTTTTGGTACTTTGTATCTTTTTAGGAATTTGTTCATCTTATGTAAGTTATTTAACTCATTGGCATACAGTTATTCTGGGTATTCCTTTATAATCCTTTTATTTTCTTATGGTTGGTAGTGATGTCCCCACTTTCATTTCTGATTCTAGTAATTTGAGCCTTCTCTTTTTTTCTTGGTTAGTCTACCTAAAGGCTTGTTAGTTTTGTTGTCCTTTTCAAAGAATCATCTCTTTTTGTTTCACTGATTTTTCTCTATTGTTTTTGTATTCTCTATTTGATTAGTTTTTTTCTTCTGCTTGTTTTATTTTAGATTTAATTTTCTCTTTTTTTCATTGTCTTAAGATGCAAAGTTAGGTTATTGATTTAAGATCTTTTTTCTTCCGGTTTTATTGAGATGCAAATGATATAAATTCAAGGTGTATAGCATAATGATTTGACTTAACATACGTCATGAAATGATTATCACAAGTTTAGTGAACATCCATCATCTCATATGGATATAAAATTAAAGAAATAGAAAAAAAATGTTTTCCTTGTGATGAGGACTCTTAGCATTAACTGTCCTAACAACTTTCATATTTAACATACTTCAGTGTTAATTATATTCATCATGTTGTACATTATATCCCTAGTACTTATTTATCCTGGAACTGGAATTTTGACTGCCTTTATTCATTTCTCCCTTCTCTGGTAACCACAGTCTGATCTCTTTTTGAGTTTGTTTATGAGATATGATTGACCTATAGTACCACATGTTAGTTCCTGTTACACAGTATAGTGATTCAGTATTTCTATACATTTCAAAATGATCATAGTAAGTCTAGTTATGATATGTCACTGTACAAAATTGTTACATGGTTATTGACTATATATATTCCCTATCCTGTACATTTCATTTCCTTAACTCATTTTTTAACTGGCAGTTTGTACCTGTCAATCTTTCTCACCTACTTCTTCCCTCTGCCTACACCCCTCTCCTCTGACAACTACCTTTGCTCTCTGTATATATAACTTTTTCTATTTTATGTTCATTTATTTTGTTTTTTAGATTCCATATATAAGTGAAATCATGGTGTTTGTCTTTCTCTTTCTATTTCACTTAGCATAATACCCTCTAGGTTTATCCATGTTGTCACAAATGGCAAGATTTCATTCTTTTTGTGGCTGAATAATATTCCATTTGTGTATGTGTGTGTGTGTGTACGTACACGTGCATGTGTGCATGTGTGCACTCCATCTATTGATAGGTATCTAGATTGTGTCCATATTTTGACTATAGTAAATAATGATGCAGTGAGCATAAGGGTGCATGTATCTTTTCAAAATAGTATTTTCATTTTCTTTGGATAAATACCCAGGAGTAGATTCCTGGGTCTTGTGGTAGTTCTATTTAGTTTTTTAAGGAACCTCCATACTGTTTCCCATAATGGCTGCATCAATTTACATTTCCACAGCAGTGTACGAAGGTTCCCTTTTCGTCACATCCTTACGAACATTTATTGTCTTTTGGATAATATCTATTCTGACAGGTTTTTAAGGTAAGATCTTTTGAAATATAGGTGTTTACAGCTTTAAGCTTTCCTCTAAGCATTGCTTTATGTGCATGTATGTGATGTTTTAGTATTGTTGATATGTTGTGTCTTTATTTTCATTCATCTCAGAGTTTTTTTCCAGTTCCCCTTTTGATTTCTTCTTTGGCCCACTGATTATTTAGGAGTATATTGTTTAATTTCTAGATATTTGTGAATTTCCCAGTTTCCTCCTACAACTGATTTCTAGTTTTATTCCATTGTGGTTAAAAAAAACTTTGGGTTATTTCTGTCATTTCAAATTTATTAATATTTGTTTCACAGCCTAGCATATGGTCTGTCCTAGAGAACATTGCGTGTGCACTTGAGAAGATTGCTATTGTTGGGTAGAGTGTTCTGTGGATGTCTCTTAGGTCTAGTTCATCTATAGTGTTATCCAAGTCTTCTGCTTCTTTGTTGATCTTCTGCCTAGTTTTATGAAAATGTCACTGAAGATAGAGAATTGAAATCTCCAGCTATTATCATTGTATTGTCTATTTCTTTGATTCTGTCAGTTTTTACTTCTGTTTTGGTACTCTGTTACTCCTGTTTAAGTGCATTTATGTTTGTAATTATTATCTTCCTGATGGATTGACCCATATATTCTTGTCAAATTTCCCTCTCCATTTCTAATAACATCATTTGTTTTAAAGTTTATTTTGTCTAATATTAGTATAGTCATTCCAGCTTTCTTGTGTTTGTTGTTTGCGTGATACCTTCTTCTTTTTATTTTCAATTTCTTTGTATTTTTGTATCTTTGAATGTAAAATGTATCACCTATAGACAGAGTATAGTTGGATCTTGTTTCTTTTTAAATCTAATCTGACAAAAGTCTACCTTTTGATTGGTTTGTATAATCCATTGTCATTTGATGTTATTATCAATATAGTTGAATTTATTTCTACCATTTTACTTTGTTTACTATGTCTCATGCTTCTTTTTGTTCCCCATCCTTTCCTACTGCTTTCTTTTGAATTAAGTCAATATATTATTTTAATTTGTCATGTAGCATTTTAATTTTGTTAATAATTTTTTTCACTGTATGGAGTTATTTCTTTAGTGGTTGCCTTAGGCCTTATCATATATATCTTAATTTATCATAATCAGTGTAAGACTTATAGTAACTTAATTCCAGTGAGTTATAGAAATGTTACCCCATATAGGTATGTTATCTTGTGCCCCTTTTAATGATATTATTGTTGAGTGTTATAAACCCAACAATACATTGTTATAATTACTACTTTATATGATTTTATGTGTTTTAAAGAAGTGAGAAAAGGTGAACAAGTATATATTAGCTTTTGCTATGTTAACTTTATCACTTATGGTTTTCTATATTTATTCCCATTGATTTGAATTCCCATCTAGGGTCATTTCCTTAGCTCTGTACGGCTTTGCTCTTACCCACCTATGTGCTGTTCTAGGCAAATAAATTACATATGTTGTACTTCTATAATGTTTAGGCTTAACAATACATTTTATACATATTGTTTTATAAAGTTGCTTTTTAAATTACTTAAGAAGAAATATATACTTATATATATTATATACTTTATAATTAAAAAATTACTTTTGCTGGTGCTCTTGATTGTTTCTTTGTCTGTGTTTGAATTACTTTCTGGTCTCACTTGCCCTCAGCTTAAAGAACTTCCTTTAGTATTTCTTACAAACCAAGTCTAGTCTCCACACATTTTCTTAGTTTTTGTTTATCTGAGAATATCTTTATTTTATCCTCATTTTTGAAAGATAGCTTTGCTGGATATAGAATTCTTGTTTGAGTTTTTTTGTTTGAGTATTTTGAATATGTTTTCTCACTGCCTTCTGACCTCCATTGTTTATACTGAGAAGTCAGCATTAATACTACTGGGGTTCTCTTGTAAGTGATGAGTCCTCTTTTTCTTGCTGCTTTCAAGATTTTGTCCTTGTCTTTGGGTTACAGGATTTTTAGTGTTAAGTGTCTATTTGTGGATCTCTATATTTATCCTACTTGGAGTTTGTTGAGCTTCCTGAAAGTATAGATTAATGTTTAATGTAATAAGTTTTCAGCTATTTTATCTTTGAATATTTCTTCTGCTTCATCCCCCACCCCCTTTTCCTCCTGTCTCTTCTCCTCCTGGTTTTTTTTATTCATATGTTGGCATCCCATGTTTGTCTGACATTCTGTTTATTCTTCTTTGTTCTGTTTCTTGTCTGGTTTTTGGATTGCATAATCTCTATTGATCTACCTTCGGTTTCACTTTCTTCTTTCACTTGAGTCCCTCTTGTAAATTTTTCATTTCAGTTGGACTTTTTATCTCAAGAATTTCCAATTGGTTCTTTTAAAAATTATTTCTAGCTCTTTATTGATATTCTCTGTTTGGTATGACATTGTCATTATACCTTGCTTTCCTTTTTTAATTATGTTGTCCTTTAGTTCTTCAAATATATTTATAATGGCTACTTTGCAGTCTTGTTAAATTTGGTTGCTCTTACAGGCAGTTTCTCTTGCCTACTTTTTTCCTAGTGTAAAGGTTATACTTTCTTTTATTGCTTGCTTGTTTTTTGCTTGTCTCATAATTTTTTGTTGAAAACTGGAGAATTGAAATAATACATTGTAGCAACTCTTAGTCATCTTCCTCCCACCTCTGGCTTGTTATTGTTGTTTGCTTGTTTATGTAGTGACTAGCTGGATTATTTTAGTGAGACTCTCTGCCCTCTCTCCCCCACCCCCCATTGATGCATGTGGCTCCCCAGTGACCGTGGGATGGCAGTGGTTTTGGTAGGGATCTTTTTGGCTCTTTCCCCAACCACACCCAGCTGTTAAACTCCACTAATTGCCAACTGATTGCTCTATTGTTTTCAACAATTCCCTGAAGTGCATATTGCTCCACAGACTGATCCAATCAGGTTTTTAAAGGGCCAGGACTGGGAATTAGGTCTGTGATTGAGATTTATTCTGATTCTGTAGAGCTCCTGCCAGCTGCCTCTTTCCTCAATTCTCTCTGGTATCCCAGCCAGTCAGTCTGCAGTTTAGCCTGTTACTACAATGAGTGTGTTAGTCTCCTCCCAATTGCCTTTTACAGCAGTCTCCACTGTTTTCTAAGAGCAAACCTCTCCACACTCTGTTGCAAATGAAGTCAGTTTCTTTGGGGGAAGAGAACTGGAGCTTTCTGTTTTACAGTGTGCTCTCCCTCTGGCCAAAATCTCTGTACTATGGCTCTTGAACTGGGGGGTTGGTACAATGGCACATGTCTCCCTAGGCATTCCTGCTGTAGGAGCTGAGCACTTGTGGGGAATGGAGCAGCAGTAGCCTCAGGTTTTACTAGCTTGTCTCCCCAGGCTTGGAATCTCTGATTTATGAACTGCAAATGAGCTGGGTCATGGATAATCTGGACCCCAATGTTTTCATCATGCCCCATCCAAGGTAGAGCCTGTGTCTCAGGGATTGGGATTGGGTGGAAGAAAGGAGTTCCTAATCCGTCAGCCACACTTAACTGGAACTTAGTCTCAGCAACAGATAATTAAGGATAGATTGAGAAATGATGATGCCCTGCCCCTCCTGAGAAGATAACCCTCCAACTGGAAGGTGAGAGAAAAGGGACCCCTGTTCTCTGTTGCACCAGTCTATAGTGTTTCTATGTCAGAGAGGTGGAAGGAGGAGGGAGGAAGGAGAACGGGAGTGAGTCATTCTTCAAATACCGTAGACTCTTCACTGTTTAGCAAGTTCTATTTGATTTTCATGAATAAATGTTTCTTTATTTGCTGTATACTCATAGGGCCATTTCCAGAGATTGTAAATGGTATTTGCTTTTTTGTTTTTTAATCATTTTTGCCAGTTTCACTGGGGAGTGTAGATCCATGAAGCTCCTCATGCTGTTTTTTCTGGAAGTGAAACTCTGAACCTTATTCTTCTAAATGAGGATTATCATCTTTTGGTATTTGAGAGAAGAATGTTCAAGTGCTTTGAAGAGGTTGAAGAGATGTTTCTCCCAAGGGAGGAGCCTACTAGGAAAGGAACATGAATCCCATGGCAGAACATAAACTCTCTAAGATTAAGGTGTTTTCATAGTACTTCTGAGTTTACTACACAGCCTGGGTTTTTAAAAACATTTTTAATTGAAATTTTTCTTATTTGTAACTACGCTTGTAGCATCGTGATTTTAAAAAAACCCATTTAGAATAACATCATTTAATTACCTTGATTTCCTCTTATTTTTCCTTAATTATAAGCTTGATGTTTGGGAGTATAATTAACATTTGGTTTTTGTTTTTGTTAGAGGCAGTAACGAACCAGGAAAAAAGAAACAACATATCTGTCATATTGAAGGATGTGGAAAAGTTTATGGCAAAACATCTCACCTACGAGCACATCTTCGCTGGCATACTGGAGAAAGACCTTTTATATGCAACTGGATGTTTTGTGGGAAAAGATTTACAAGGAGTGATGAGCTTCAGAGACATAGAAGAACCCATACAGGTTAGTTGGTTTATTTTAGGACCTGTATTTTTACTTCTTTTTTCATTGCTTAGATGAAAATTTTAGTGATAATTAGCTATCAAATTGGAAATATGCAGATTAAGGAGAATTCAGTGTAGTGATTATATGAAAGATGTTTAAGATCAAAATTTTTTACCTCATTTCTGAGATACATTTTATTCTACTTTTAATAAGCTTTATTGGCATAATTACATGACTTGGAATTTTTTCCATTTGCTTATCTTGTATTCTTAGCATGTTGAACTCACATATATTACTTTTTGTCAGTATTTAAATAGATGAAAAGAAAGTTGAATTATTTTATTGGTGACTATTACTAGTTTTTGTGTTTTCACAATCTGGACAATTGACTGAAGCATCAAGAGTATCAAGAGCATCAAATACATTCTTCTCATTGTCTTTTAAGGTTTTTGTTTTTGTTTTTGTTTGTTTGTTTTTTTTTCTTGGTAAGTTTGGTGTTTTATCAGTCTAGAATTTTTTTGATGATGGCCTGGAAGGAAATACAGTTTTATTTTTCTTTCATGTGGAAAGCCATTTCTTGAGTAGCCCATTTCTTTCTCCATTGGTTTGTAATGAAACTTCTTTCATGTATTAATGTCTCTTTAAGAATGGCTCAGTTTCTGGGTCCTCTGGTTTGAAGCTTTTATCTATTTGTCAGTTCCTACACCAATACTGTATACTATTGTAATTACCAGAGGCTTATATTAAGTCTTGATATCTGTTAGGACAATGGGGCAGTTTTCTTTTCTTTTGTTTTGCATGTAACACCGACTTTCTCTGTTTAGAACACTATATATATGTATATATACACACACACACACATATGTAGACACAATATTTAATTATTGAAGAAATTAATAATTTTAGTAGATTTTTTAATTGGACATTAAACTTTATCTTGTATCAAGGTACATGTAGGGCAAAATGGCAGCTAGAACTAACATTTATTGCTCAGCTACCATTTATCAGACGTTTCAAATATGTTATCTCATTTGATTGTAACAGCAGCACTGTGAGCTAGAAATTGGCTCCATTTTACAGATTAGAAAGTAGTCTCAGGTAAGAAAAAATAATCTATTTAAAGTGATAACTAAAAATTATTTAGTTTGATATGCATGTAGATTAGTAATACAGATGAGTCTTAGTATAATGGCTCAATCACTGAGTTAATATTTTGCTAAAACCAAGAATTTTAATGTAAAAGAAGTTTTAAAAACTTTGTGTATATTACCTGGGAGTTTCTAATGACATCTCATCTTCCATATTGGCAAATCTGTTGTGATTAAAAATTAAGCCCATAACAATATTGATGTTTGTTTTAGAAAAATACTGTGCTATTTATGTCAGTATGTAGTAATTCCACCTTACATTAGCAGTGGGACAGATTAGGGATGCCAAGAAAATTTGGAACCTCTCACATGGTTTCATCATTTTCTTTGAGAAATAATGAATTTCTAAAGTGAATTTCTATTGCACATCCACACTCAGATAGATAATACAAATTTATTGAAGGATTTATATAAATATATGTTTCAAAACCAAACGTTAATGATTTGAAAGCATAATTTCTTCCTTCTTTTTAAATGGTCCACACCATTATCATCTTTTAATAACTTGAATAATTCAGAATTTAACATACGTTAAGCTTACTTTCAGTGTTTCAAACATATTGAATACATCATATACATAATTGTTTAATTAAACATGGTATTCTGAAAAATGTTTAGCTTTTATATCAGCATATACTTTTAAAGACATAATATGTAACTTCCAATGTTTATTAAAGTTGCTGAAAAGAATATGAAATAGTATCTTTTGAAATAAATAAGTATTGATTAAGCATTTAAAACCTTGGTTATTCATGGGAATAACAATGTTTTATTCTAATGCCCAACCAATGCACTGCAGGAAATCTCAGTCAGCACCTTACTATGAATGAATAAATGAGTTATTTTTATTCACTGAGGAAAATAGTGCAGATTTTTTTGCTTTTGGTAAAATAAATATTAAAAAAGTTTTCAGATGACACATGCATGTTGTATTTAAAAATCAAAATCATATTGAAGACCTTGGATTGTTAAGGAGACTCTTTGCCCTACCCCCTATTTTGCTCCCCAGAGAAAACCATATTTAATCTCTAAACTATTTTACATTTGAATTCTTCCTGTGACGGCTGCCATATATCTAAATAGTATGATTATACTGTTATTTATTGATACATCAATATTAAACACTCTGTTGATTTCTTGCATTGAGAGTTGAGGATTTACCTCACTTTGGGCATGCAGTTGGCCAACAGGAACCTGAAAAAGTGCTCAGCACTGCTAATCATTAGGGAAATGCAAATCAAAACCACAATGAGATATTGCCTCACACCTGTCAGAATGGCTGTCATCAAAAAGACCACAAGTAACAAGTGTTGGGAAGGATGTGGAGAGAATGGAACCCTTGTGAATTGTTGGTGGGAATGTAAATTGGTGCAGCTGTTACGGAAACAGTATGGAGGTTTCTCAAAAAACTAAAAATAGAACTGCCATATGACACAGCAATTCTACTCCTAGGTATATATCTGAAAAAAATGAAAACTAATTTGAAAAGATTTAGGCACCCCAATGTTCATAGCAGCATTATATACAATTGCCAAGATACATAAGCAGCCTAAGTGTCCACCAGCAGATGAATGGGTAAAAAAGAAGTGGTAGATCAATACAGTGGAATACTACTCAGCCATAAAAAGAATGAATTTTTGCTACTTGGAGGGTATTATGCTAAGTGAGATAAGTCAGACAGAGAAGGACAAATACTTCATGATACCACTTAAAAGTGGAATCTAAAAAATAAAACACACTAGTGAATATAACAAAAAAGGAACAGACTCACAGAGAGAACAAACTAGTGAGAGTTTCACCTCCCTGTTTTTCTCTCCTGTGTGTGTTTTGTTTTTCTCTGAAGTTTCAAATTGCCTTTTTTCCCCTTGCATTGATTAACTTTATCACTTCCTCTTGTTGTTTTAACTTTTCAAGGAAAGTATCAGCTCCATCCAGTTTCTTCTTATTCCTGGAGATCTCCAGCTTTCTAATCAAACACTGATTGGTTCCTCTCTAGGGCTACTGCGGCTGTAATCTTGACTCTTTTTTTCCCCTGCTCTTTTGGTTTTGATCTAGTGTTCTCAAGATCTCACACCTTCAGTTTTCTGTTTACTTCCTTGGTTTCTGGAAAACAATCTGAAATGCTTCCTACAAAAAGGCATAGGGAAGTAACCTAATTTTGAAATGTCTTTGTTTTGCTTTTCCACTTACGTGATGGTTTGGTTAGTACAGAATCCTAGGTTGCAAATTATATTCATTCAAAATATTAATGGCTCTGCTCTATATTCTCCTTGCATCCATTTTACTAATAAAAAGTTCATTGTTACTCTTTTCTTGTTTTGTGTAGATGACCTAATCATACCCTTTTAGCTTTTAAGAGCTTGTTAATTTTATTTATTTATAATTTCTTAAATTATGAAGTAATTTTATATTTACAGAAGAGTTATGAAATGAAGCTCTTTTATACTTTCGAAAGAGTTGCAAAGATAGTATAGAAAGTTCTCATAAACCCTTCACCCAGCTTCATCTGTTGCAAACCTCTTTTATAACACAATGTTAAGAAATTAACATTGGTAGAATACTATTAATTAAACTATAGACTTTCATACAGATAATCCTTTTTCCATTCCAGAGTTCAGTCTAGAATACCACACTGCATTTATTTGTCATGGCTCTAGTCTTCTGCAGTCTGTGAAATTTCCTCATTCTTTCCTGGTCTTTTCTTACCTTCACACTGGAAGATTAGGTGCCCTATAGAATATCCCTCAACTTGGGTTTGTCACTTTTTTTTCATGATTAGATTGAGGTTACAAATTGTTGCTGGGAAGAATATCACAGACATTAATGCTCTTCTGATTCTGTCTTATAAGAGAGTACATAGATGAGAGTTTGGTTCTTCTCAACCCTTTCCTGGGTAGGCTCACAACCCTAAGCTTCCATATAGTCTTCTACATTACAAGGAGTATGTCAGAGCTTTTCAAAGCCCCTATGGATATTTGTATCTCCCAGCTTTTTATTTTAAGTTTTTTGTTTAGCCTTTTTATTGTTTGGCCCAAGTGTTGTTCATTGCCCTGGACATCCATGAAGTTTAAACACATGGCTATAATTGTTTTAGACAACACGTGCCATTATCTACTTCCAGAGGAAGGTTTTTGCATTGGGCTACTTCCAAGGAAAGTGAAGTACAACAGTATTTTATGCGTCCTCCAAAGAAACAATGGTGATTCTTTGGGAAGGGAGTTTTGAAAGCTCCAGCTCTGTTCTGCTCCCTCTGGTGGCTGCCAGGCTGCTGGAGAGTAGAAAGTGGAACCAGGCAAATTAAAGCATCGCAAAACTTGCTGTTCTTACCAAGAAAGAGCTATTTTTAAAAAAAATTAAACAGCCCCTGAGTTACTGCAAGCCTTGATTAATTTCCAGAGTTTGAAAGGGTTGACTTGTTTTTTTCTCAATTTTCTGATTCCTTTCATAGAGCAGTGATTTTTTTTGGTCACCATCTTTACTGACGTTACCTCTTTTGTGTTTTTTTGTTTTTTCGGCCTTTATTTCTGAAGAATTATAAGGGTTAGAGAGTTGTTGAGTTCTGTTTGTGACGTGTTGAATGATGTGTTCTATGGCATGATAGGAAAAGTCACATTCATAGTTGGTTTAGAAATTGGGATCTTGATGTCACCATCCATTTGTAGATGATAGTTAAAACCATTACAGTAGATAAGAGATTGTCTTTTGAAAAAGAATAATAAAATGACCAAAGGGCTTCTATATTTGAGTCGATAATTGCTGAAGGAAGAAGTGAAAAATTACTCAGTGTGCAAATTTATGTTCCTGCAAGTTCAGGGTCTCAAATCTCAGCCAGTCTCTCAGAATATCCTGTAAGTCTTACTCTTTTTTTTT